CCAGATTATTGTATTCTGACGGCTGCGAATGTTGGCTGTCACAATACATGAAGAGTGCCTATAGCTGATTGGCTGCAGGTGCTGTTTGGCCAACAATCTTCAGCCCAGCGCCTTCAACAAAAAATACCAAAATAAAAGTGCATTGCTATCCTTTAACAGAAGTTGACTGGGTAATCAATTTTTGTTGATCCAGCAGGGCCACCCACTGTTAGATTTCTAGGAATCTGAGGAAGTTCTAACAGTGAATGGCAAGCTTCACACTGAAGGCAAAGGCTAGTGAAGTCTGAGCCCTTATCTCTCATCAGTCATTCTATTAAAGACTGAATGATAGGGGAGATGCTACCACAGCTAGTGACCTGAATAGGTGTTTACAGCAGCACCTCCTCTAACAAAAAGTCATCTTCAGCTTTAGGTGATTTCAGATTGGGGTTCTGACTTTCCACAGTCTTCGGTACAAAATGTTTACAGCATAAGGAGACCAATATTCCAAGAAGTGTTTTTATTATAACATATTCTATATACAAAAAAATTAAATAAAATTGTGTTAATGTAGAATTTCTGTACACTTGCGAGATTCAGTTACTGCTGAATAAACAAACAAACAAACAGCATTTTATCATTCTACAGTATCTTTTACGCCCGACATCTCATAGAGAGTATACCATTATATAACCCCAAATTCTAACAATTTTTTTTTTTACATTTTTGTCCACAGTAATTGGACTCTTTTTAAAAAAGTCTCACAGTCTCATCAGCTGCTGACATCACCGTGGAGGTGGCTATAAGTTGTCAAATCAACACATTGCACCTTTACGCACAAAAAAAAAAAAAAAAGGAAAAAAAAATTGCATTGGTGCATGTGCATTAACCCAACATATACACAGCCACTTTACATTTTTTTTCACAAGATTCACACAGCTTTCACCTAAGATTCAGACATTTTGTAATTTGATTCATTTGGGGAAAGTGGGAATTCTGGGCAAAAGCTGAGAGAAATCCTTTATAAACAGACCCCATAGTGTGAATGATATGATTAAAGAGCTACATACAGTAAGTGCTATGTGCTGTGTAAGCAATAGAGGCTCTTTATACTCTCAGTGCAGTATTACTTCAAACTTCCTTTAGACTTAAGAAGACATATTAGCACAGGCTGCTTCTTTTGCTCGCTTTTATTGTGCTTCTAGTGCATTTTTTATGTAATCTCTATAGATCATTAAAAAAAAAGCTTCATCATTTCTGATGAAAATGATCACAATTCTGATCAGAATTTGGTTGGAATAAACAAAAATGGCAATTACATGTGTCATTACAGAAGTATTCAGTTAATGCACTCCTCACAAAAAAAAAAAAAAAGATGCGTGTTAAATGCAGCACCTATAGCAAACGATCCATGTTATTCCAATGTGTCAACCTTGTCAATTTAATAACAAAAACCAAATGAAAGTTCCTTACAATACTAGAGCTCCTATATTCACCCTTTAGGCAGCCTGTGCCTCCTACCTTCCCTCTATTTGAGCACAGTAGACTTAGCAAGTCTTCTCAACACTCAACACTTCCGGGACTGCCGAATGCCTATGATCCCTGTTGCACATCATGGATCCTTCCTCCAACCCCTATTCCACTACATAACAAAATATTTATGTACTGTAACTGTCAGATAATGGAACTACCGTGTGCAGTGGAGGACCCAGGCTCTGCCTGTGTTCCCCACCACATGATACGGATCCTTCCTCTGATACAATACAATAGGGTGTCAGAGCATGAAGCTACAATGGAGGATACAGACTCTCAGAGGTGTTGAATGCTAAAGAGACTATTGCAGAGCCAGAACTGAAGGGGAAGCAGACAACACCAAACGTTGAAGAGGCGAGTACATTATCTCGTTTATTGCAGGGAAACTCCTTCTGGAATTTGTTACAGAACGGACAGAGTCACTTAAAAAATGAACTTTTCTTGCTATAGGTTACTGTATATTTTTTAGTTACAGCTTTGCTTCTTCTAGTGCTTATAACATAATTGCTTTTTTAGCATATAAATGTCTGAGAGAATCATGCAGTTGGATAAATCTGTGCCCCGCTAAATGACTGTCCCATGTAGGGCTAACAAATAGAGGGCTTCTGAATGTTCTAATGGTTCTTTGCAACATGCTGGGAAAAAGTGATAAAGCACCTTTTATTGACCATCATTCATTGTGACACTCCATGTGCACTGTTGAAAGGCATTACAAACACACTAAAACCACAGTTTCTCTTGATATCTTCTACATGGCTGAGAGACTGAATTCCAAAACAGCTAATGTGACCCCTACTATTTGCATCCGATGTTGGACTTTTGAATCTGTTAATCAACATGCTTTGGGTGGCCAATGGTGAAGCTGGAGGCAAAGGCACTTTCTGAAAAGCCACTGAAAAGGCACTACAGAAATCTACACGTCCTCTCTACGTTTTTTAACAAGGCAGTTCTTTTTTAATGCAGAAGAGACATGCGATATCTCCTCTGTAATAAAACACAATTACTGGTCTGCTTGCATGTTACGCATACAGCTTAGCTTACACTCACGTCATCCCGTCAACAAATCAAGTCTGAAAACCTGACACACGAAAGTAGCTCAAGGAAAAGATGACAGTGGCCAGTGCAGGAAGGTGGAGATAAGTTTTTTTGCAGAGTTTAGTTCTGATTTAAGGCATATAGTGGAGACGTACCAAACTCAGGCCATAATTTCACCAAAAAAGGAGAAAAATGGACATCTACGCTGCATGTGGGTGACTGGATATTGTACCACCTTGTAGCTAGGTGCCTAAATGGTACAACATTTCTTTTGAATGGGCCTGTTCACACTAAAATACCATGGGGTAAACCTGCATTCTGTGTGGGTTTCCTGCACCGCATTCAGATGCACTGTCCTTGCAATCTGCAGTGGGTGTCAGTACGATGTTAAGACACCCCAAACACAGATCACAAAGGCAGTGTGTTTGCCTGCACTATATTGCACTGTACAAAAGAAGCATGCGATCCATGGGCAGTGCGTTTCCAAAAGTAGTGCATGCGTAATAAATAGGTTAAAATTGCACTGCATAGAACTGCATGTGAATCGCGCAGGAACACCCAGCGCGTTCCTGTGCGATTCCTAGAAGAATGGGCCCTAAACACATGCAACCAAAATAAAGAGGGTGTAGTAGTGTTTAACTAAAGGTGCATACGGACATTAGGTTATATCAATCTGACCAAAAATGTCCAGAATAAGCTATGATCTGATGTATATGGGCTCAGACTGCAAAAATATTTTAAGAGAATCTTTTCCGATCAGGGTATCACTGAGGAATCCTGGCCAGGAGTGGAGCTGCCCCCCCAACAAACCATGTTAATGCTCAAAGTATATGTAAACCCCACTGTTGTCACTATCGGGATACCAGTCAGAGCAATGACTGTGCCTGTAGAACAAGCATGTAGGCAGGAAGTGGATGTAAAAGGCTGGAGAGGATAGTAGCATTGAGATACAAAAGAGATGAAGCAGGGGAGGTGTTTAGGCATGATTATGTGCATCTGGGTGCAATTTACACTTGAAAACGCCTCTCTAAATGCACGTTTGGGGCATTTTTTTTATGCTCCTGAATGATGCCCTTAAATACGCCTGTAAACAATACAATGTGCGTATGCACATTAGATAACCTAGAGCTGCTTTCAGAGGCATAAACAAAATGCCAGACACCCCTGGCAGTGGCATATTTTTTACCCGTATGCATGAGACCTGCGGTTAAATAAGCAGAAAGTGAATAACAACATAAATCTCTTGCTTTAAAATCACTGCAATCCAGACCTTCACAGGGTTTCCTATTGTTTTTTTCCCCAGTACCTTGTAGTGAGATCAGGGACACACCCGGCCCTATCCCACAATGCAATGGTGTGTGTGTGCCAACACTGTCATGGGGAGAACCTACCTATATGGTGGTACTTGGCCTCATACAGGCTTGCCTGAATAATGACAAATCTGTGTACAATTTCAGGCACCATGCTCTGCCTCCCCCCCCACACCAATAATCCCTGACAGCATTTTTTTATGCTTTTTGTCTTTTAATACTTAGGTGATGTGACTCAGCAACCATTTCAGCAACAGTCAATGTTGATGGGGGAATACCCCCCGCTGAGCTATTGTGTTCTCCTGGTGGAAGGGCACGGGGAGCGGACCGTGCTGGAAGAGCACAGTGATTACTGATAGTGACTATAGCCGCTGGCAATAATCACATCCTACCGACATGCTGGTAGTACCCAAGTCAACCGATGGATCCACTTGGGTACAAACAGCCTACCCATACATGGATCAAATCTCAGACAGTCCCTGTTAAACAGGCCAAGATTCAAACCATCTGTTGCTGGCTTTACCTTTGCCAGTGTCTTCAGGTTGGTCATGTGACACTCTTCCTCTTCACCTCTTCTCTGGTTTCTTCTTCCAGATCCTAGCATCCCTGTTTATGGCAGAAGCTGTATCAGAAGACAGATGGAGCAGAACATGGGCATGGCAAGCTTAAGGGATAAATTCACCTTTAAGTAAAAAATAATAAATGCACATATTTTTGCAGGACAAAATGTGCATTTATAATTTTTTCTACAAAGTATGGCACGGGTTGATCATGGGTACAATGTCAAGCTCCTGCACACTCTCCCTCCAGCTATTTGCCCATTCCTCCGTGTTGGCTTTCAGTCAGAAAGCTGGAGGAAGTGTAAATGAACTACAAGCACACTGATCAGAGAATGAGTGTGTTTCTGTCCCTGCTCTCTGATCAAAAATCAGCTCCATTTTCACCATGAAAAAAGAGATAAAAAAGTTAGCCCTTCCCTTCTTCTAAGGAGAAGAAAGCCATGGTTTCACAGCATTTCTATAAACATCCACTTCTGGTTTTTATTGATCTAGCCATAATGTTCTGTACTTCACTAAAGAAAAAAACTAAAAAACAAAAACAAAAACATAAGTTTACTATAAAAGAAGACAAAAATGCATGTAGTCAGTCAAACTGTATGATGTACTCTGGGTAGATCTGATTGCTGTCAAAAATGACATAAAGGAGCGGAGAAAAAGGATTGTCCACGCAGCTGTCATATAAATTGATGAGACTCCCATCCTTGGAGGGCGGTCGGATATACGTCTTGTTTCCTGTGGTGTAATCTCCAACTATGACCCTGGCCAGGAACATGGATTTGTTTGTAAACGAGTTGCAAAAGAAAGGGTTCACGCCATGCAGTCCCCAGTGTCATACTGTGCTTGCTGCTGTTTTTTACAGTATTGGCTTGATAATGAGGCGTGCTTTGCAAAGTATGTACCTGCAGAGCAAGAAAGCAAAATTAGATGAACCATTTCAATTACATCCAGGATCAAATTGTCACAAAAAAATCTGCCCAAAGAGACCCAGACAGCAGAAAAATAATATACTGTTTTAAATCCTACCCTACTGTATTGATAAAAAAAAAAGTTTGGGTATATGAGGTGTGATAATTTAATTCCTGCACTTCCAGTGGCACAACACTATGGTGCACTCGAGTGTGTGCTGACATGTTCTAACTTGCACTCGCCTGGGTCGCAGACCAGTTGACTCAGTCTTTACAAAGTAGTAGAAAAAAATAACACATGAGTGCATTGTGCTGTTGGCTGAAAATCAGTGACAGGAATCTGGAGCAATGGATTAACATCAAATTTTGTGTGTGAAAACTGGCAAAAGTGCAAGTGAAACGTTAGCTCTTTTACTACAGGCTTATGGTGAACATTCCATGAAGAAACCAAGTGTTTTTGAATGGCATAGGAGGAGCAGGAAGATGTCCACAATAGTGCATGAAGTGGGCAGCCATAAATGCAAAGAATGAATGCAGATGGGGACAGAGTGCAGACCCTCGTACACGAAGATTGAATGTATGAATAATGCACAGTAACAGCCCCCCCCAATCTCACATGTGGAAAGAAAAAATTATAAAACACAATTACTGAGGGGGAAAAAGGATCACCCCCTTTACAAGTCATTTTTTAGCTATAGGAGGTTTACAAGTCATTTTTAGGGGGGGGGTGATCCTTTTTCCACCTCAGTGATTCTGTTATTGAAATTTTTTAAAATAAATTTTAAAATAAATTTCTGACATGTTGGTATTATATCTTTTTACTTGGATGTTATAAGTTGCACTGAGTAAATACAGCTGGATAAAACAAAAATTGTGCCTGTCTTCACTTCAGGCTGCGAAGCAAGAAAATCTGATTTTTTTTGTCACAAAATTTTCGGAAATTAAAAAATGTGCATTTTTTTTTTCACAATTTATGTACAGGTATTTATTTGTTACATACGGTCACCAGTGCAGTACAGCGTCATCACATAACTGGTGTGGCAGTGATCAGGGACACTGGTGACAGTATGTATAAACAAAAAAACAAAATAATTTTTTTTTTTTTTTATAGGCTGTGACTAGAGCAGTACAATGTTATGATCGTCACACTACTCTGGGGAGGTGATCAGGATTTTCTTTTTTTTAACAAACGATGATCACTTATAACAGTAATCATCACTGTTATAAGTAACCATTTGTTGTGAATGGATCAATATATTCAGTGTGTATTGTTGTGATTAGCTGTGACTGGCCACAGCTAATCACATGGTACAGATGGTCTGTGATTGGTCCTGTCTGTACCATGTGATCACTGTGACCAATTACAGCGAGCAACATAACAGTACAGAATGACCGGCTATGAATGGAAGCCATTCATTTGCCAATTGCCATTTGATCTGCTATGATTGGTCACAACGATCATATGGTGCAAGCAGCAGCCTGGGTGACAGATCACTCTGTATTGTGGGCTGTGGGGCATGTGTGAGGCGCATTCTGAGGAGGACGTCATATGACATCCACCCGGAACAAGTGAGCTCCTATCCAGCATATTACAATAGTTTGTAGACTGTAACATTCACACAGACTAAATAATAAACACTGATTTGGGTTATTTTTACAAAAGGAATGTAGCAGAATACATTTTTGGCCTAAACTCATGAAGGCCAATCATTTATTTGCAAAATGGTATAACAGATTAAGAAAACCCTTTTTTTTCTAAATTTTCTGTGTTTTTTGTTTAGAAGGTGAAAAAAAAACAACAACAACAGTGGTATAAGTATGGTTTGGTTAAGTATCACCAAAAGAAAACTCTATCTTTTGGTGATAAAAATTTATTTTGGGTACAGTGTTACAAGACTGAGTAATTGTCATTCAAAGTATGACAGCGCTGAATTCTGAAAAAGAACCTGGGGCAGGAAGAGGGGGAAAGTGTCCGATATTGAAGTGGCTAAGGATATGAACAGGCCTTACCTTTTCCATAAACGGTGCCATGTATACCGTTTAATCGCCAGTCAAAATTATGAATGCATATTGCATTGATGAACTCATTGCTTGTACCATGAAAGAGCATCTCCTCCGCAATTACAGGCACTCCTTTCTTCTTTTTCATTTGAGCTTTCTTCCTACAGAGAACACCACAAACATTTACTGATACTGTTTAATATAATCCTTTCACTTCCAGAGCTTTTTTTCCATACTTTTTTTCCACATTTTAGGCCCGAAGATTACTCTGAACCCCCAGAGCAGAGACTCTGAAGAATATAATTATGTCAATTGCAATATTTTAGCTAATGACTATCAATTCCATATTTTCAGAAATAATACACTCAAATAATTTTTTTTTGCACAAACATAATACCCAGTTTTTTTTTGTAAAATATAAAAGGTTGTGTTGAGTGAATAGACAGCAAACACTTCAAGCCTTGAAACTGCGTGTGCCTGTGTAATGGCAAGAAACTACAGTACCCAAAATTCTCCACAGTTGACCCTTTAAAAGCCTTTAAAGTCCATCAATTTAGAGTTAATAGTGAATGATGCCTCTATAAATATTGCTCAACTTTCATATTATATGCTCGATTCCATATATGTGTGCACCTGACATGTTTCCATTTGTACATGTATGTATGTGGGGGCGGGTGGCTTTAAATTTTTTTTTTCCTATTTTATTCAACTTTCTTTTTTGTCCCTTAACGTTATTTGTATCACAAAGGGGCTGCAATAGCCCCTTATGTGATAGCAATATGCAGATGACAGGTTCTCTTAAACCACTATTAGTCCTGCCCAATTCTAATATTTTTCACATACATGTTAGAATCAGCATTCTTTTGCTAGGAAATTATTTAGAACCGAAACATTTTATATTTTCTGAAACAGACGCCCCTTGGCTTCTTGCCTGCCCCTTTCCTTTGAGACCTCCCATCATGGTGGCCACTAGGAATATGAAGGGGGGGCTTAGCAGTAAGTTCTGACACTTGCCTTTTAGAGCAGCCTATGAGTTGGCTGTCATGGGAGAGTTTTGGAGGGTGCTGTGCAAATTTGCAGGCACCCTTTACAGAATTTTTTTTTTTTTCTTTTTTTCTCAATTCCCCTTTTAATATTTTCACTGATAAATGCTGAATAAACACAATTACAAGTCTAGCAAATCTGCATTGTCCTCTAATCTGTGTTGTGCTCTACTGCACATCTGTACCTCTGCCACCACCTCTCTTTCTTTATTGTCATTGGGAGCTGGCTGTATCTTCCTGGTTTTGCAGCTGGTCCCCTTATGATGTGGCATCAGTCATTGTGCATGCATAGAGCAAAGACCTGGTGCTAGGACATATAGCTATATAGTGCCATGGCATTGGAGTGAGAGCTCACAAAGATTCCTTCTCTGGGACTGCTATCTCTTGGGATATGTGATACAGGTATCCCAGGAAGCTGCACGAGTATGCTATACCATCACCCTCACATAGACGAGAAATTAAGTTTCACACAAAAAAAAAAATTAAAAAAGATATTTATAAGCCATACAATATAAAGAATGTCAGATCTTTATTATTATAGGGCAGCACAGTGGCTAAATGGTTAGCACTTCCATCTGGCAGTACTCGGGTCGTCGGTTTGAATCACAACCACGGCACCACCTGCCTAGAGTTTGCATGTTCTCCCTGTGCCTGCGTGGGTTTCCTCCAGGTGCTCTGGTTTCCTCCCACACTCCAAAGATATACTGGTAGCTTAATTGGCTCCTGTCTAAATTGGCCCTAGTATGTGTATGTATGAATGTAAGTTAAGGACCTTAGATTGTACGTCCCTTGAGGGTTAGGGACCGATGTGAATGTACAATATATATGTAAAGCACTACGTAAATTGACAGCGCTATGTAAGTACCTGTAATAAATAAATAAATTATGGAGGGGGGGAGGAAATAAATAAGGCATAAATATATAATTTTAGCTGAAACATCCACATTAAACGTCTAATGGCTAATGTGGCACACATTTTGCAGCACTGTAATGAAGCTTACCTGCAGAAAAATTCCCACAGATCCAGGTTCTGTAATCTTAGAATCTTTGTGATACGATTCTGGTCCATAGACTGCCCAAATAGGTTAGCTACTTCCTTATATTCATTGCATACTTTGAGCAGGGGGATGAGCTGAAAAAATAATCCTTATGCATTGTAATTAGCTGGTAACTCAAGTGAAAATGTGCAGCTACTGTACATGGAGAGAACATGTAGTGTCTACCTGATAAGGTTGGGTGCTGTTCACATGCTCCCAGTGGGATGGCATTGGGATCGATCCATTGTCACAGATATAACTATTGTAACAGAAAAACCCATGTAAGTGCCAAGTGCATGAGCGTTAATAGGATTTTTTACGTATACTTAACAGTATGTTCACCCTTAACCCTTTAATGATATGTGTCTTCCAGAGCAGTGACTCTTGTCCAAGGGCCTTACCCCCTTTTTCTTGTTGATTTTTATCCACCATGGCTGGGTGAAGCACAATGTTCTATCTTTTTCTGCGCCTTAACAGTAATCTCCTAATTACGCTACTGCAGTGTGATGTAAGGCATTGTGCACACGCACATTTTTCCACTTTGCACATAGAGCAGCCCATTCACTACCACAGGCTGCTCTACATGCAACAAAGAAGCTCTTACACCTTCTTGAGCTCAGATTTGTTTTAGCTATGCATTTATTGTGTTTGTTGCACCTACTTGTGTGTGGAAAACTGCACTTCTTGCATAGCGTGTTTGAGATACCGTTAACAATTAATGACACCACAAATGCGGCATGTGTTTTTCACATTGCCAAATTGCAAGACTTTACATACTACACTAGTGTGCATTCAGACTAGGGACAGAGGAAGGCATCTTCTAGCGTTGAACTAGCATTTCATCACAATTATTGTCATCTCTGTACTTGCATTCTGGCCAAGAAGACGCAGAACACTGAGGACATCTTGTGGTAGAGAATAGGTATTGCAGAGGAAATAAGACTGCAGCAAGAATTGCTTTTATATTATTGTTTAAATTTTAGTTCAGAGTGGAGCTTCATCCCCAATTCAAGATCACTGGTAGTCAGTGAAAGCCATCCTTTGTCTGTCACTGTTTCAACAATGCCTCACCAAAAATGGCACAGAAAAGAAAGTAGGTCTGAGTGTTTCCTTTCCTAGTACATTCTTGCTTGGTGTCAGCACGCTGAGAAAGATGAAAAGTGATCATATACAAGGGCTAAAAATTTGAATTCCTTCATATTATCTGGCAGTGGCATGGGGCCTAATAATGTAGAAAGTAATTGTGTGCAGCAATTGAACTAAACCAGTAAGCTACTAATGTATTCCACAAAGCTGCAGCTATTCTAACAACGGAAAGTTCACTCAATTCAAATTAAAGCAGATGTTCACCCCGGAAAGGTGCCTCGGCCACCTCCTTTATTTTTAAACAAATCATTTTTGTTGTTTTGAGCTCACTCTATCATTTTACATTTTTTTCTGTGGTCCTGTCTACCTCCACGCCCCCCTTCCCCCCAATTCTCGACTAAACGAGAGCAATGTGTGCTACATTCCAGCAGCCTCCTGGGATATGGTCAGGGGATATCCCAGGAGGCTGCGGGACTGTGGGAGCCCATTCACTATGTGGTGGCTTGGCATGCATCATTGGGGGCCTGGCAGCCTGAACTTGGAAATGTAAACCAGGCTCCTGATAACCGAGTGCACCAAGATGGCAGTGCATGGACAAGGCTGTGACACTTAATCAAGGGATCACAGCAGGGCAATACTGGATCCACTGGGCAGGTGAATATATATTCTGATGCAAGCCTAGTGTCACAGGTAAAAGAGGATGGAGGGGAAAAACAGGGTGAGGACCATGCACATTTGCGTAGGAAACACCAGTGTCTAGCATTTTTTTCTGCCAGAAAAAGGCTCTCAAAAACACAAACAGAGGGATTATTTTTGCCTCTAAATGCTGAGCTTAAACAAAAATGCCTCTAGACTACCTAATGTGCATGGACACAGAGGATAACAATAGTTGCTTCTACATGCAAAACACTAAAATCTTCTAGGAGCAGAGTTTTTTAAGCCAGTGTGCATGGAGCCTGAGAGTGACTAGTTCTCACACAGCTCCATAAAGGATCACTAGGAATGTACTTCTGGAAGTCAGTATTCTATGACTTCTATCTCTGCTTCCTGCATCTGCAGTTATTTAAAGTAGAACTATAAGCAAAACTTTTTTTTTATTCATTTTGGATAGAGCAAGAGAGGATTATAATCCCTATCAGATGTTTCCCCCATCTGTGTCCCATTGGGGAGATTTCCCTTCATTCCCTGTCCCATAGCCAAACACGAAGTGAGAGGAAATCCCTGCAAATTAAGGGAATTCCTTGGGGACCCCCCAAGTGACCAGAACTAGTGTCCCCATTTGAAGGTTCCCCTCTATTACTTTTCTGGGGACAACCCAATACTTGGTGTTTTGTTTTACTTTCACTAATAATGTTAAGCAGGACAAATAGGGAGGATGAATCTCCTTAACGGGAGGTATAGACAGCAATAAAAACAGATTTTATAATCCCTCTGCATAATAAAATAATGAAGTATTCAGCAGTATGCTGTGCTCCTGGTATATAAATATCTCAATGTTAGTTTTCAGTTTTAACTGGGGTGTACCATTATTCACCTCCCAACCCCCCATCTTCCTACAGCAAGGATGGAGATATGGAAAATCTCACTATTGAAGTTTTCTATATTGGAAGACAGTCAATGCTTACAATGAAGTGTTTGTAACACCTATCAAATGCAGGCCAGCAGATTTCCATTTACATCAATAGTGTAGTGATGAAAGGTGCAAGATGTGTTTGTTTGACCTGCCTTGTGTTGCATTTATTGAGAAATAGCAGGTCCTATTGAGATATGTTGTTTACTATGCAGGCAAATCAGTTCAAATGAAAATATGTGCTGCATTTTGCATTCAAAAGCAGGTGTTTGAGGGGCACAGTGTTTGAATGCTCTTAATAGCAATGCCCCTCTACATATCCCATGTAGTAATTTAGTTTACCAGCATCCAATACTGACAAAAACTATATTTGGGGTGATCTGACCCACTGGAAACATACAAATTATGTACAGTAAGTTTAGAATTATAATCAGGGTCAAAATGATATAATATACAGTAAATATGTATAATGTTCTGTATAACATGATAATAAGAAAATGCATTATCTGAGATCACCTGAATGCAGAGATTGAAAATGGGGCTCTCTTTACTGGCCGTTTTGTGCCACTGCATAAATTGGTCTGACACATTTCTGCAACAAAAAAATAAGTATTTAATAACAAAAAAAGATTATTTTAAAATAATATTTAAGTCAAATATTTCATTTATATCAGGACCTCAAATTGAGTCCTGTATGTGTACTACCAGATATGCTCTTTATTTTAATGGAAGACCTAAAACCACAGTTACCCCTACTTTGCCATGTTTCAAGTCATGAGAAATGTAAGAACTGCAGGCAAAATTCCTATTATTTTGGACAGGGAAGGGCTTTTACTATCCCTTGTACCTCTTTGGGGAGATTTCCCCTCATGGTTTATCCAGGAAAAGATGTGATGAAAGTGATATCTCTCTAAAATAGTTTTAAAGTAACATTAGCCACCTCCACTCTGGAAGGTTTTACCCCCTTCATGACCAGACCAATTATTTGCTATTCAACACTGTGCTACTTTAATTGGCAATTGTGCGGTCATGCAACACTGTACGCAAATGAAATTTAGATCACATTTTTTCACACAAATAGAGAATTCCTTTGCTGGTATTTGATCACTACTGTTTTTTTTTTAATTTTTATTATATAAAGGAAAAAAGACCAGAAAATTTGGGGGAAAAAATATATTTTCTACTTTTGTTATAAAACATATTGAATAAAAAAAAAAATATCACATTTCTTTAGAAGTTTATGCCAAAATGTATTCTACTATATGTATTTGGTAAAAAAAAACCTAATATATGTATAGTATTTGGCTTGTGTGAACGTTAAAGCATCTACAAACTATGGTGTATATATACACAGGAATTTACACAGGTATGCCGTTATACTAGCAATGACGCTGATCAGCGATTTATAGAGGGTCTGGGATAGTGTGGTAGGCAATCAGGCGCTATCCAATTCTGGCTGGGAGGTGTACTGACTGACAAGGGTGCAGAAACAACCAGGCCACTGTTCCCTGTAAACACAGAACTCTGTGAGTGATTGGACACAGAGCCAATCAGCTGACTTCAGCCAAAGTCACTGGGTAAAAATCAGCTGCCAAAACTCATGCTGTGTCCAAATACAGCAATGGTCAGCAGGGGACGCACATGCGTGCACCCCAAACTGAGACTGATCATGTACATGTATGTGATCGTGCCTGCACCTGCCACTCGCTCACGGTATGTTACTGCCAGAAATCGGTGGTTAAACACTATCCTTATATTCTAAAAATAATCCATACACATCCGCTACTTAATGGCCCCATAATCTATTTGTATTAAATCTTTCTCAAAATGTATTTTTCAAGCTCCTTATAACATCCTCCAAGAGCTTCCAAACCTTTCCTTTTCCTATAACTTCTGTTTTTTTCTGGAACAAGCAGTGCATGTTTGTTACAGTCTTGTGCATTGCTCTATGCACACTACAATTCCTATAGTCCAACTCGGGAGCGAGCAAGACAGGGTGGTTATGCTCCTACACAATGTGTGACCATAGAAAGCAGATGCAGCCACCCTCTAACAAGACTTCAGATAACAAAAGTTAAAAAAAAAAAGAGGAAGGAATTTGTGGATTTGGAGGAGTCTGAGAGCAACAGAAGGCACTTTTTGAGTTAAGAATACATACTTGAATAGATTTTTTTTTAAAACCAGAGTTTAGTCTTACTTTGGGAGCACACATTGCACAAATGCCCTGACATAGCTGTGTTGTTACACATGTATTTGCAAATATATGCAACAAAAAACTCTGCTGTTGAAACAGTAGTTAGATTTTGTTGTGCTTTTGTTTCTATTATTACAGGTATAGGGGACTTCCTTCTGTTCTGAAAGCTTGCATTAGAACGATTATTTCTGGTTAGCCACTAAAATATGTAACAGCAAATGAAATCTCTTATTATACTGTTGCTGCTAAATTCATATAAAAGCCACAAAAGCTGCAGATTTTGCACTGGTGATATGCCGATGTGTGAGGAAAACAAGTAAAGGATGCTTATTCGGGCCACTCTGCTATTGACAAGTATGTGTTTATAGTAATCGTCTGTAAATCATCTTTTTCTTCCAGAATACGGCTTACCTGTGAAATCTATACGATAGTTGAATTTCACTGTTGCAAATTCTACTGAGCCATCAGGGTTTTCTCTGTAACGCTGTTCAAGCTCTTGACTTGTTATTGAGCAATACTCAGAAGGACTTGACTAAAATATACAAAACAAAATAAGAGCATTTAAAGAAAAATAAAGCTAACCATAGATGGAGAGTTGTCTCCCTAAAAACAACAAGCAGGGAGCCCTTGTAGCAATGAGAACTGCTGCAACTCCCTAAAGTGAATATTCAGACGAAAGAATAAGACCTTTTCTTGGAGTCCATTGAGGGACATAGGAATTCTTAAACTATTAGGTTATAATCACAATCGTTAATCCTCAGTGTTCAAATGTCCAAACAATCAGTTCCACTGGAAAAATCACTCAGCTGCTGGACACAAAAATGCCACCCAGTCTGCAAGAATCAAGATTGTGTCAATTGACTACTAATGCAGGCCATAGATGGGTCGAAAACCGGCTGTTTTTTTAACAAAAAAATTAAAAATCGGTCGTTCAATAGGCCGACGTTGCCACCAACGGTAAAAAAAAAGACCAAAAAACAAATCGGCCGATTTTCGTCCCGTCAATGGCAGGCATTTAATTACCTCTGTCCCTGCAGAGAGCTCCACTATTATATTTGACATTAAAAAGTATAGCGGTTGCAACATTGTATCTATTTGTATCCATTTCGGATACAGATGTTTTTATTTGGATACAAATAGATACATTGTTGCAATACTTTTTCATGTCAAATATAATAGCGGACTGGAATTCTTATTCTTCTTTTTCTTCCTCTTCTTTTTTTTCTTCTTCTTTTTTTGCAGGTCACGGCTCATGCGCAGATTTTTTATTGGTAAAAACAGCGGCCGATTTGACCATCATTGCTGCGAAAATCGGCCGATTGGCAAAATCGGACGATTTTTTTCAAACTTTACCGACTAAAAAAATGTGCCAAAATCCAGAAAAACGGCCGGCCAATTAACCCATTAATGGTGCGAAAATCAGCCAATTTTTTTTTCGGACAAAAAAATCAGCCGATTTTCGACCCAGCTATGTCCTGCATAAGTGCTAGTTTTATCTGTATCAGGTTATATTGACACCTACAGGTGAAATGGCCACTGGCAAAAAAAAAAAAAAAAATATGTGCTGGTCAACATTTGAAGCAAAGTAGCATGACAGCAAGAAAATAAAACAAAGGGGAGGAGGGGGATCTGTGTTCTTCAATAAAGCTCCAAGAAAAGGATTAGACAATGAACACAACATTTTTTTTTCCTCTTCCATTGGAATTCGTAAGCTGTCAGGTCATCCTACACCAGCCGAACAGAGAGGTTGGCAACACTGAAACACAAGCTAAGAGACCCAAGAAAAACAACAATAAACTGGGAATTGCCTTTGGCTTCAGAAAATGCTCGTAAAGCCAACATCCAAAGCAAGGATCCGATCAGGCCTGAATATCTACCTGATAAATCTCAAAAATCAAAAACAGAAGACCAGGTTTTAGTCTTGCTGAGAAAAGCTGCTTGATTATGGAAAAAAACAATCTCCGATCTAGATGGCTACTGAGAGAAGAGTTGGAGCCTGGTCCTTAAGACCATAAGCTTGGATGGATGATAGCTTGCTTGAGTTACCTAGAGATAGTGGAACAGGAAACCAGAGCTCCTTTTGAGGAAATTACATGACAGATCCCCTGACAAAGTGCTTAATCAAGGAGAGGGGTCATTGGTCTCTGAAACAAGATAGAAAGATAGAAACCTAGCCCTTCATAGTGCTGACAGCTGAATGCCCAGCAGCAGGAACAAGAGGTGTCATTGCATGGAGAAACTCATAGGGTGGAAGCCCCAAGACTCACAGTAAGTGAAGTAAGCTTTCCACATCCGATGTTGGAAAGCTTACTTCAGCAGCTAACCTAGCTTTTAGCATCATAATAATCACAGATGAAGGGCTACCCCCTCAGAACCTAACTTTCAATACTCATGCTTTTAAAGCCAGCAACCATAATGCAAGATAGCACACTGATTCTTAAAACAGAAGACACTTCCAATCTCACATAATCCATAGGGTATAGGTAAGGAATGGTACCAGGTGGGCTTACCACATCTGGAGCAAAGAAGTTCACTGAAATTCCCTCCATCTTGATCCTGTGAAGCAGATGAGATAAAATGGTGCATTGGAAGAAATACAGAGATCAGAGTGTATTGATCCCACCAGGTCACCAGAGATTCCACTTCTTCTGCTAGAGGATTCCTGCACCTGGAGAAAAACCTGTCCAGTTTGTTGTTGAACCAGGAGGCCAAGCGGTCCACATCTATCATCCCCTACACAAGTAGGATACACAAGTTCTGGACCTCTTCTAGTGTAGAGACCTATTTCTTGGGTCCAGGTTCTCCAAGCAGAGTAAGTCTTCCTTCCAATTGCACATGGTTGGCAAAATTAGAACATGACGTTTTGCCCAGGACAGAATCCGATCTACCACTCTTGCTTTAGCAAGGCTTTTGGCTCCTCCCCAACGGATGGTGCAAGTCACTCTCATTGACTCATCAGGCTAAATCCAAAATGGATGACATTCCAGCGGGGTGGTTCAATGTTGCAGAGATACTCAAATCGTCTGAAGCAAAGCTCCAGGATGCTGATCAGGAAACAAGACTCTTCTGACAACAGAATGCCAGCAATAGAATGCAGAAATAAAGCCACAATAAGTAGAGAAATTCTCTGATTTGGAAATAATAGCTGCAGACTGAAAACAGTAGAATGATCCTTCCCTCAGGGGGGACATAGAATCGACACCTTACAAAAGATCCACAGAGGGATGCTGAGTGAACCAGAGACGTCCAGGATGCTTGTGTTGGATTTAGAGGAGGAGTTGCAAAAAATGGATATCAGTGACCCATGGGTCAAAGGTGGTTCACCAGTAGGCAGCTAAAGCAGAACATAAGAAGCCCTCTTCAAACAACAGCCAAGTGGGACTAAGTCATGCAGTTCACTTGCAGATGCAGAGCAACCCCCGTTCTTTCTGCCAGAGATAGCAGTGAAGGCTAAACAAAAAAAGGCTAAGAGTTAATATCCAAACTAATCCCTAAATGTCAGGATATACTACAATATCATAGCAACTACAGTGTAACATTGGAAAGGAATTCACTGATCACTCAGAAGTGGTGGTGCTGTATGGGAACAACTTCATTCGAAGTCATAAAAATACACAGCAGCTTTTACAATCAACCAGAGGAGGCTTTAAAAAAACTAGTCCCCTTTAGACCCTTTAGATTGTAAGCTCCACAAGCAGGGCCCTCCTATTCCTTCTGTACTGAAAAGGATTGTAATTGTACTGTCTCTCTTATATTGTAAAGCGCTGCGCAAACTGTTGGCGTTATATAAATCCTGTATAATAATAATAATAATAGTGTTCACAAATACTGATGAATGGGGTCTATTACTCTCTGGTTTGCACTAACATGAGATCTCAGGTGAGTTGTGCTGGAACGTGTTATGACTGTATAGGATCAACTGCCTGAAAAACTCAAGCTCCTGTTAGAAGAGACTCCACATTCTTTAATTCAGCAGGAAAAATCTTGTGTGCACGCCCCTGCAATCTCCCCCACATGCATGCTCCTTTATTAATTAGAGCTGCATCATTCAGGGAAAAGTAGGATTAGTAGTCAGGTCCAGAGATACCTCCACCATGTGGCCAAATTGCAAAGTACATAAATCCAGACTAGAATACAGGAGAAAATAACTTGCCATTCAAAACATATTAAAGCGGAGTTCCAGTCCCCCTAAAAAAAAAATTTTTAAAAGCAGATCCACGACTAGGAATATCATTCAGAATTGGAATAATTCAATATTAAAAACATTGTAATTACTTTGAAAATCGTTCATATTTACCAGGATCTGTGAAGCAGGCAGTTGCCATGATGGCTGTGGGCATCTGAAGCCCGCAGGTCTTTATTTCCTGAATTCGTACTGCTGGCTTTCCCAGCATGCAACACTCGTTCTCGCGCATGCACAGTACAGACAATGCTCGGCGCGACGTGTACAGTACAGGTTGCCATAGCAATGATGGGGATGGATGAAGTTCCCGCCCGTCAGGCAACCTGTACAGCACTGCAAGCAAGCATAGAGCACAGCAGGATACTGCAGACACGTCGTCCTATAAGCATGGACTCCGGTAAAATGGCGCAAAACACCACCCATTCACGTCATTTACAGTTTCCAAGTCTCGCTAGTACAGGAAACCAATGGACTCCTGGGATACAGAAAACGACATCCCAGGAGACCTTGCAAATCGCCTTTCTACATCATCGCCTAGGCGGTCGGGACCGGAACTGCAGGCTTCCAGAGGATAAAAAGTATGTATAAAAAAAAAAAAAATTCCAACTTGTGCTTCTTTTCACAGGGACTATCTAATAAGGTAAATTACTAAAAATGGGTGGAACTCCGCTTTAAATTCCCCCTTCCTTTACAGCCAAGGAAGCTGCCATGCTAAACTGGTTTGGTTGAAGGCACAAGCAACTGTAACAGATAGTATTGGGAAACAGTTAAATCAATGTGTTTAGTTCCGATTCACCTACAGATTCTATTATAGAAAATACCATATAGGTAGCCTCAGTATATAAAACAGAGGAACCTCAACCTAGCATAAGCCTGCTTGGAACACACAATAGTGATTTGCAGAGACGGCGACAAAAAAACTACCTCGGCTCTGGACCAGTAACTCTATAGGAAATCTCCAGACATAGAGGAATCCTGTGTGAACTGGAACACAGACATGTAGTCACTGCTGACAGCAGGACTGTCAAAGAGACAACACCAGCATGGATAATGAACTGTGAATGTGTGCTGTTTAGCTAAGTGGGGAAATGTTTAGAATTTCTATATCGGCCTGAATCTACAACTAGTTGTAAATGATTGGAAAAATGTTTAGAAATTCAGGGCTGTTGCTTAAAGAAAACTGTGAAAACCTGAGAAAATTCATGGATTTAAAATACCTGGCATGAATCTACCAATGCTCATTGGCTGTCTGGAAAGATTTCCAGGACTTAACATATGTATCTACCAGCAGCTGTAGACAGTAGAAAAATCTTCCAAACAATTAGAAAACAGAAGAGCTGAAGAAGACGTCATGTCCACTCTCCAGAGCATAAAAGCAAGAAAATGAGGCATGAAGACCGTGTACAGGGTTATCCTCCGCTGGCTGTTTTTTGTGATGCTAGTGTCCAATTCTCCTGTAGGCAGCAGTATAACAATCTAAGAATTGCTGTGTCCCTTAATGGATGAGAAAGAGAGAAGACTACAGTCTTTTTTTTTTAAATTACAGTTGTAAAAATTCAACTAAATGTTAAAAAAAATGACAAAGTAGAACATTAGTCAGAAAATCAAGTCCTGCAAGATCACTTCAGGCTGGCCCCTTTTGCAGGTATAGCTATGTAAAACATTAAAATAAGTGCCTCTACTGTTTATAACCCAGTAATGCACTGTCTTGCCCCGCTCTGCACATGCTCAATTGCTCTCTATGTTTAGGCTGTGCCGAATTTGTAGAGGCCGATCTGCTGACAGCGTTAAAGTGGAATCAAACCCTCCTATCCTTTACAGCCAAGGAAGCTGCTTCTGTTTGATCTGCAACTGCCATGCTGCTGCACATGTGATCAGTTATGACTTCAGCCATTTCATGGTTTGATAGTTTGGTTGAGGACACGAGCAAATGTGACAGTTAGCAATTCCATAAGTGACTCTGTTTATTTAAAACCATTAAATTGATGAGTTTAGTTCTGTTTTATGATTTACTGCTGTTCAGGCACTCTGGGATTCAGCAAAATGGCAGCCTCCAGCAAAAAAAAAAAACAGGAGCAATGGTGGAAGCAATTTACAGCACACATTAATTTTGGTAACAGAATTATTAATGTGGAATATAAGTTCCTTGCTAAAGAACATTATTTTTTAATAAGTTGTTATGGGTAAAATTTGCTTTAAAACCTGACCTAAATCATTTGTATTTATATATGTATAGCTATATTTGCTTTCTGCTGATCCTCTTATCTCACTTATCTAGTCTGTGACTGAAAGCATTGGATTCAGTCTCTTATGATGTAAAATTCAACGTCATCTTTGCACTGGCTGGCCTGCAGTAGGTTTTCAATAAAAATAAAATTATAATTAGCAAAAGTGATTCTACTTGTGAACAAGTATTTGGGCATGGTGCACTGCGACATAATCTCTCATAGATTTTTTCATCTCCCACTAAAGTAAAGAAAAGGAAAAGACTCTATAGGGTAGTGCTGAATAATGAGGATGTACAAAGTTCAGTGTCACAGTTACTTACCTGCCACGCTCCTGCTCAATCTCCTGAGGCTGAGGGCAGTTCCAGGTTTTATGCAGAGTGTCGCAGTCACATGATGTGTCACATGACAGTTTTTTTCTATTTAAACACAAGCAAAATATTCTGTACCCACTTGAGCATTATGTCCACACATTCCTTTTGGCATTTCTGAGCTAACAAAGTGCATTTCTATAATCCTACTCCCCTGAGCTACAGATTTAATTCACCTGTGAACCCTAAACAAAACACCTGCAGTACTGCAAACCAAGCCCCAGAGAATCGTCAGTCTTCTTGCACCCCTGCTGCATCTCTGCTGCACCAACAGCCCTGTGCAACCTCAGGCACATCCATGGACTCTGTTGCCTCACTGCTGTATCCCCAGCCTCCTCTGGACCCCAGCAGCCCCCACAAACTCTGCAGTATCTCTGCTGCACATGCAGCCCCGCTGCATCTCAGTTACTCTCACAGACTTTTCTGCATCTCAACCACCTCCACAGACTCTGCTGCATCCTCACTGCTCTCACAGTTGCCGCTACAACCCAGGAGTATCCACAGTCTGAGCCTCCACAGCATCATCTCTGTACTCACAGCCTCTAGCCAATCTCCTTCTTCCAGCTGTCCTGCCTCTCCGATGCTCCAGTTCCTAAGTACCTGACACCATTCCTCCATCATGTTTGCAAGTATCTGTACAGTGACCCAGAATGCAGGTAGCCGCAAACTCCCATGAGCAGGCCCCTGGCAGAATACCAGCTACTTACCTGTCAGCGGTAATGTGATCCGAACTGCACATGCATGCACAGCTCAGACCACATTTATGGCACCCACTGTGTGCCACTGTGATGTGAATCTTGTTCAGGTGAGACGTCACTGTGTCCCAAACATCGAAGGAAGAGAGATGAAAGCGCCTGGGACCAGTGGTAGAGGTGACAACGCAGTGCTGGAGGGCTACATTTCACAAGTGCACACAAGTACATTATGACTTAAACCTGCAAAATTGCCTTTTTTTTCCTACTGACTTTACTACCGCTTTACAATGTATCATTTCCTTGAGCTTATGTTTAGATTTTTTTTTTTTTTTTTTTTACACATATCAGTGTGTTTTTACTCCTGTGAAGCCTGGGCAGACCCTGTGTTTCTATAAGGAGGAATCCAAAATAAACTGTAATTTTAGTTTGTAGATCCCTTTGAAAAAAAACATTGAGGGAAAAAATAAAACATTTAAAACATTTCTGCAATGCATACACATTTCCTCATGTTCTGTCTCTTTACAAAATTTAAAGTACAGAAAAATACCTGCTAATATGTCAAAAAAATCTATCAAGCTCATAATTTCTTGTAGTGAGCTTGCAACTCTGCTGCACTGGAATCCCACACAGTGCTGATCAGCCCTGACCAATTATCCCCTGCTGGACTACAAAATACCTCCATCTTGTGTTTTGGAAAAGAGGTGATGTGATCTGTACTCAAGCAGGCAAGAGCTGGGCAAAGCTGAAAACACCTCTTAGGATGTCAGTGCAGAAGAGAAAGAGTAAACAGAAAGTTAGGAGTCTGCTTTAAACACCAGTGCACAGGAACAGTAATACATACCTCAAACATATGCCATTTTCCACATTCTGCCAGATAAAACCACCCCCATTTGCGTTTCTGAAACATCCATTTCCTCAGACACATCACTTTTACTGGTACAAGGCTCCCCCACTGTTTGCGTAGGTAGGCTATATTCAACCTGAAATAGCAATCACAATTGCGCAATTATTATTTATTTTATTTATTACAGGTACTAATATAGCGCTGTCAATTTACGCAGCGCTTTTTACATATATATTGTACATTCACATCATTCCCTAACCCTCAAGGGGCGTACAATCTAAGTATGAACACAAACTACACTGTAAATAAATACATTATGATTAGCGTGCTATCATTGCAGTGGCTCACAGAACAATTTTACTACCATGTTAACAGATATCCTAATATATAGATGATATATTGATGATGAACACAAAGTATGTGCTCCTCATCTTCATTCTCTTCTTTCCAGTGCTTATTCCATGAGCTACAAGCGCTTTGACACACAGTGCACTATCATGTATTACAATAAATCTGCTGCTCTGTTAGAATGAGTGTAACAGTTAAAAAAAAATTATATAAAAAATAAAAAAAAATAATATATATCTATATATATATATATATATATATATATATATATATATATATATATATATATATATATATATATACACACACACACATACACACACACACACACAGTATACACTCACATACATGCACACAAGGGTTAGACTAACAAAGGGAAACACTACATGATTTGCAGTTGTGAAAGTGTGACAATGTGTTTTTGTTGAAAGAGGAAGTGTTGTAACATTATTTTGCTTCTGCTGTGTGATGGGACACCTAGCTAACAGGTGGGAGGCCTCACTTTCGTCATTCACGCTGTTAGTAATATGGAGTCCTGTCAGATCTTACTGAGCTTCAAAGAGTACAAATTGTTGGTGACGCTTAGCCGGTACTTCTGTGACTGAAGTTGCCACTTTATTTTCCATGTTGCGAGGTACAATATCAGAGGTTATGACAACCTGTACAGTTTCCGGGAAAACGTCGTCCGATAAGCATAAGTGCGGTTGAGATTGAGCTCTGCAGTCACTTTTGCAGCAGTTGTTTTTCTCTGGGTCACAGTCCTGCACATTGTCCTTTTATCTATTTTGGTCAGCTGACTATGTGGACTGTGCTTATGCTTAACAGACTACGTTTATTTATATATATATATAAAATCCTCTTTTACTTGGGGCTCATTCACATAACTCAATGTATGTTATTACATTTTGTAATGTTATATAACCCTTTCACACCCTATTCAAAATGTAAAAAATGTAATGTCTCAGGTGAAGTTTTCCAGTAAGGAAGAAGTCACTGCTTTGATACCTTCCTGTGTAACTAAATTTCATCTTTTAAGCCCTGCAAAGGGCAGGCTTTTAACAACATAGTATAAGAGACTAAGGCTAGCTGTAATTATAATAAATGGTGCAGCGCTACTAATAATAAACCAGCAATAAATCCACTCAGACAATGCATGTAAATGAATAAAATAATCGCAACTGCATGGGTGAACCCCCTTGGTGACAGCATAGATAGACATATATCTATCACTGGTGTCAAGATGCAAAAATGACACACACTTAATACATGACTAAGGGGTGGTGTATCAGTCCACTTTGAGCACACAGGTGAGGAACTCTTCATACATGTGGATGTGTCATACGTGCCAAAAAAAATCCCAAAGCAGTCTGAGTGCCCCCTCACCTCCTTGCAATGACCTCAAGGGCCAGCCAGCGTTCAACTAGTATTCAGGCAATCTCCTGCAGATCCCTTCAGTGCGACCGGAATGATAGTAGCAAACACCCTGATGAAGTCACGTGATATTAGTGATGCAACGCGTTGGTACGTCCATCGTCATTTCCTGGAACGCGGTGACGTCACTTCCGGCGCCCGCGCCATATTGGGACTCCATGAAGCCGCATGTCAGGAGGACAGTTGAAAGATGTTTGCGATTGCCTGCCTACATGTAAGTGGGTATTTTAATTTTACTCAATAAATTTAACGATATTGCACTATGGAGCCTGTTTGGTTTGTGTCTCTGAGTGGACGATAGAGGTGTTGCCAGAGCGGTGGAGTGCAGGAAGAGGTCTGGCTAAAGCTACTATCATTCCGGTCGCACTGAAGGGATCTGCAGGAGATTGCCTGAATACTAGTTGAACGCTGGCTGGCCCTTGAGGTCATTGCAAGGAGGTAAGGGGGCACTCAGACTGGTTTGGGATTTTTTTTGGCATGTATGACACATCCACTTGCATGAAGAGTTCCTCACCTGTGTGCTCAAAGTGGACTGTTACATCACCCCTTAGTCACGTATTAAGTGTGTGTCATTTTTGCGTCTTGACACCAGTGATAGATATATGTCATTCTATGCTGTCACCAAGGGGGTTCACTCATGCAGTTGCGATTATTTTATTCATTTGCATGCATTGTCTGAGTGGATTTATTGCTGGTTTATTATTAGTAGCGCTGCACCATTTATTATAATTTCAGTTTATGGTATTTATTGGTACATAGTAGGTGCTAGCAGCTTTATAACTGTTAGGGCCATCTAAGCGCAGGGGCTTTTTTTCATTTTTTAAGGCTAGCTGTACCTGCTGTACTAGCGGCTGCCTGAATACCCAGCAGTGATTGACTCTAATAGGACACTGTCACTATCAGCCAGCAATTTTCCACCAGGCCCCTCTGATTTTTACACTGAAGGATATCAAGCCAGCTGGTGGTGAAAGGGCCACCTATGGCTTGAATTTCAACTGATTCAGCAGGAATTGGGACACATTTTGAGCTGTGTATTGCTAGCATAACATATGACGGACTGCCTTGACACCCCGACTGGGTAGCTCTGCCAAACTACAGCCTTCTCTACTCTGGAACCAGAATATAGCAAATTTACCCCAAGCATCAGACAGAACCAGTGTTGGAGTAAAACAGGACTGACATTATTAACAAACAGCACAGCATTTATATTCAGAAACCTTCCCCCTAGACAGATATGACACACCTTACATGCCCTAGAAGAAAATAACATTACATAAACAAATAAACAAACAGAAGAAAATAATGGATTCCTTCCTGGCACCTAGCAGTCTGGAGGTGATCAAACAAAGGTTTCCGTCTATGACACAGAGAATAGCTGCGATTCAGAGGATCAAATAGTGTATTGCTATGACCGCACAGATTTCCAAAATCATGTCCATCATAAAATATTATTACACTTACCATCTCTGCCATAGTCTACGACTTTCACAAAGAAGAGTGAGTCTTCCGTTAAAGCTCCATACAACATTTACAATGCACTATCTCCAGGCAGATTAAATTAATACAAATGTGGCTGTAAAAAAAAAGAAAAAAAAGGAAGACACATTGATAAAAATCTAACTTTTCAGAAGAATGAAATCTTTTCTATATGTGCCCTGATTATCAGTGCATCCGCTCTGTGACATTTGGCGGTTATCGGCAGTACTTTCCTCACTCTGTGTTTCAACAGTTCAGTCATGTTTTAAAAAAAAAAAAAAAAAAAAAAAAGAACAATTCAGTTTACATAAATTTTCAGCAGTTTATCATCAGTTTTTACATCAGTTTTTCACATCCACTACCAATGCAGAAATGGACCGTTTGTCAGTTTACATCTGTTTTTCATCCGTTTTGTTTCTTTTTAATAGAACAAAATAGGGTTTTGATCCGTTTAAAAAAAATGGACGTTGACGGATGTTATTATTATTATACAAGATTTATATAGCGCCAACAGTTTGCTCAGCGCTTTGGTGTAAATGGACGATCATCCTTTTATGTCCGTTTTTCCATACAGATGCATTGATGTCCATTTTTCTTCCATGAACGAATGGATGAAAAACAGACAAAGTGTGAAGGGGGCCTTAGAGTAAATGCAAAGTGAGGACAAACCTAAACAACCAATTTAATTTCTATCAAACTATACACTATATTGCCCAAAGTATTGGTCGGCCTGCCTTTATACGCACATGAACTTTAATGGCATCCCAGTCTTAGTCGTTGGGTATAATACTGAGTTGGCCCCACCCTTTGCAGCTATAACAGCTTCAACTTCTCTGGGAAGGCTGTCCACAAGGTTTAGGAGTGTGTCTATGGGAATGTTTGACCATTCTTCCAGAAGCGCATTTGTCAGGTCATGCACTGATGTCGGACGAGAAGGCCTGGCTGCAGTCTCCACTCTAATTCATCCCAAAGGTGTTCTATTGGGTTGAGGTCAGGACTCTGGGCAGGCCAGTCAAGTTCCTCCACCCCAAACTCGCTCATCCATTTCTTTATGGACCTTGCTTTGTGCACTGGTGCGCAGTCATGTTGCAACAGGAAGGGGCCATCCCCAAAAACTGTTCCCACAAAGTTGGGAGCATGAAATTGTCCAAAATATCTTGGTATGCTGATGCCTTAAGAGTTCCCTTCACTGGAACTAAGGGGCCAATCCCAACCCTGAAAAACAACCCCACATCATAATCCCCCCTCCACCAAAGTTTACACTTGGCACAATGCAGTCAGACAAGTACCATTCTCCTGGCAACTGCCAAAGCCAGACACATCCATCAGATTGCCAGACAGAGAAACGTGATTCGTCAATCCAGAGAATGTCTCCACTGCTCTAGAGCCCAATGGCGGCGTACTTTACACCACTGCATCCGACGCTTTGTATTGCACTTGGTGATGAAAAGCTTGGATGCAGCTGCTCGGCCATGGAAACCCATTCCATGAAGCTCTCTACGCACTGTTGTTGTGCTAATCTGAAGGCCACATGAAGTCTGGATGTCTTTAGCTATCGACTGCAGACAGTTGGCGACTTCTGTGCACTATGTGCTTCAACATGTGCTGACCCCTCTCTGTCATTGTACGTGGCCTACCACTTCATGGCTGAGTTGCTGTTGCTCCCAGTTGCTTCCACTTTGTTTTAATACCACTAACAGTTGACCTTGGAATATTCAGTAGCAAGGAAATTACATGGATGGACTTATTGCACAGGTACCACACTTAAATTCACTGAGCTCCTGAGAGTGACCCATTCTTTTACAAAAGTTAGTAGAAGCAGTCTGCTTGCCTAGGTGCTTGATTTTAAACACCTGTGTCCATGGAGGTGTTTGGAACACCT